TGTGGATTTACCCTGAAACTGGGTGTTCGGAATTGCATTTGAAATAAATAAATGAATGAATGGTGTTCAGAACATTGTCATCAAGTGCGTAATAATACTGTTTCCCTGTTTGTTATATATCTAATAATAATAATAATGCTCCTGTCCATCCCAAGCAAAATACTAAGCCGCATCATCCTGGAGAGAATCAATCATGTCCTGGATGAAAACTTCGACCGGAATAGGCTGAATTCAGGAGAAACAAGTCATGCATTGATCAGAACGCCACATTACGGATCATCATTGAACAAGGCTTGGAATGACAGTCACCCCCCTATCTCAACTTCATCGACTTTGAAAAGGCCTTCAACAGCGTCGATCGAGAGGTGATTTGGCAACTACTTCACTACTACGGGGTGCCACCGACAATTATACATCTCATCCAACAGCTGTACGACAATGCTGCATGCCAAGTAATCCACAACGGAAAACTTACGGAATCCTTCGAGGTGAGGACAGGAGTAAGACAAGGCTGCCTACTATCGCCAATGATTTTCCTGATTGCAGTAGACTGGATAATGCGACAAACAGCGGGCAATGAGGAAACAGGCATAAAATCGACTCACACAAAAAATTGGAGGATCTTGACTTCCCCGATGAATATATATGTCTGATTTCCCACAAACTGGAAGATATGCAAGCAAAAAGCAACAAGTTGGCAGAAGAAGCATCAAAGATAGGACTTCAGGTGAACATAGAGAAAACAGAGGTGATGAAGATTCCTGGGCAACACCATCAAAGCAACAACAGCAGACAACGATCAGCATAAATGGGAGGAACCTGAAAGAAACAACCTCTTTTACCTACCTACCTGGGAAGCATCGTTTCAACTACAGCGACGGAACTGACGAGGATATCAAAGCAAGAATTGGAAAAGCAAGACAAGCTTTCACTACTCTCAAGTCTGTGTGGAGGTCAACAGCACTCAGCATCAAAAATAAGATCCGGATTTTCAACTCCAATGTGAAGTCAGTGCTACTAACTACGGATCAGAGACTTGCACTGCGCGTCATAAAGAGCATCTCAAACAAACTACAGACCTTCATTAACAGTTGTCTTCGCTCAATACTCAAGATCAGATGGCCGGCCAGAAAAGATCAGCAACAGAGATCTCTGGCAATGAGCGAACCAACCCAGCAGGAACCGATTGTGAAACAAATAGGCAGGAAGAAATGGAGATGGATTGGCTGGCCATACTCTGAGGAAACCATCAAGTGACATCACTAGACAAGCCATCGCTCGAGTGGAACCCGAAAGGGAAGCGGCGAGTTGGTCGTCAGTGCGAGGGTGGGTGACTTGGAGGAGGTCATGTGAAGAGGAGATGAAAACGTGTGGGCAGACTTGGAGCCAGGTGAAGACTCTAGCAGAGAACCGAACGCAATGGAGACGCACGGCTGAAGCCCTATGTTCCTCTAGGAATTAAAGGAAACATTAATAATAAATAATAATAATACACTACCACAGTGACCAAGTTTTACACATATTATTATAATAATCCAACAAAACCACTTAATAAAAATAAACTGTCTTTTTCTTTGTTGACACAAGTGGACATTTTTAGCAGAAAAGCGGTCATTGGGCTGCAGGGGAAGTGCTGAGCGTATTAACCGTAATCCAGATAATTACACAAATCAGTGTATTAATTACTCTTTGAATTATGGCACGGAATTAAGAAAAGCTAAACTGACATTTACGTGCAGTTGAAGCCCTATGTTCCACTAGGAACCCAAGGGAACAATAATAATATATAATAATAAACTGACATTTCTAAGTCACCTGTTCAATCTGTTAAATTGTATATATTCCATGCTTTAATCTCTTGTCAATCAGTATACTTTATCCGCTTATTACCCATTAATATTGCTACCAGTAACGATTTCATTACGCATTGCATTACTGTCATTTAGTGTGGTAATAGTCAGCAGTCAATAGTTTGTAATATTTCATATCAATCAAACCATAGAATATATCTTCATAACTTGTAAATTTCTAATTTCTGCTGGTAATCTACTTTTTATAAGCTTATGTAATAGTGCGTTTGGTGGGTCAGTTGTTGAATGTCCGCCAACTGACTAACGTGTTCAATTGCCGGTCAACTCACTCTTAAACCTCACTTAGGCGAGGCGGTAGTAAGCCAAGTGATGAGACATTGGTGGGAACGTGAGACTGGAAATCTCACTTGGAAAAAATAAAAGTCAAACTTGACACCTGTGTTCTGTTCAGAAAGCTAAGAAGTGAAAAACGTGTGTAGAACATGTAGACACTGTGATAGTATGCAATTCTGCATTAGTTTGGTTATTATGTAGAATCATTAGAGGAATATAGGGCTTCAGCCGTGCGTCTCCATTGCGTTCGGTTCTCTGCTAGAGTCTTCACCTAACACCAAGTCTGCCCACACACTTTCATCTCCTCTTCACATCACCGCCTCCAAGTCACCCCACCTTCGCACTGACCACCAACTCGCCGCTTCCCTTTCGGGTTCCACTCGAGCGATGGCTACTCTAGTGATGTCACTCACTTGATGGTTTCCTGAGAGTATGACCAATCCATCTCCATTTCTTCCTGCCTATTTGTTTCACAATCGGTTCCTGCTAGGTTGGTTCGCCCATTGCCAGATATCTCTGTTGCTGATCTTTTCTGGCCGGCTGGCCATCTGATCTTGAGTATTGAGCGAAGACAACTGTTAATGAAGGTCTGTAGTTTGTTTGAGATGCTATTTATGACGCGCAGTGCAAGTCTCTGATCCGTATAGTGAGTAGCACTGACTTCACATTGGAGTTGAAAATCCGGATGTTATTTTTCATGCTGAGTGCTGTTGACCTCCACACAGACTTGAGAGTAGTGAAAGCTTGTCTTGCTTTTCCGATTCTTGCCTTGATATCCTCGTCAGTTCCGTCTACCTGTAGGTGAAACGATGTCTCCCAGGTAGGTAATTCAAAGATAGAGAAGTAATATTAGTATTATTTGCCAGTTGACGAAGTCTCAAATACAGTTTATTATTTAAAATCATAGTATCATCATTTCTAACTGTGTGGAGGTCAACAGTGCTCATCAGCATGAAAAATAAGATCCGGATTTTCAACTCCATTGTGAAGTCAATGCTATTTACAATACGGATCATAGACTTGGCGCCTCTCCGCACCACGTCACGAAGGCCACTTCGAACAAACTACACACCTTCATCAACAGCTGTCTTCAATCAGTGCTATTTAAGATCAAATGGCCAGAAATGATCAGCAACAGAGATCTCTGTGAGCGAACCAACCAACCAGGAACCAGTTGTGCTGCAACAAATATGCAGGAAGAAATGGAGGTGGATTGACCATACTCTGAGGAAACAAATCATCAAGTGAGCAACATCACACGCAGTGCAGGCCATCACTCGATTGGAAGGCGAAAGGGAAGCGGTGAGTTGGTCATCAGTGCGAAGGTGACATGTAAGAGGAGGTGATGTGAAGTGGAGAGGAAATCATGTGGGCAGATGAGGAGGCAGGTGAAAACGTTGGCGGATAAGTGAACGCAATGGAGACGTGCGGCTGAAGCCCTAAATTCCTCCAAATCTACCTCTACATCAAATTTCTAGACTGTTACTGGACCTATCCTATATTGCTTGTCTGTAGCAGAAGTGATTTCTGTAGTTGGAGATTTTTTCTAGCTTCCTTATCTTGGTTCACTCCTAGTCTAGATTTCAGTGGTATTAAAACTGCCCCTGGTTTAACACTTTAGCTTATGCATTTCACTTTACATTCAT